GAACTCCTTACTGACACGTGTCCTAAAGCGGAGATACTTTTACGATACCTCTCCTTTAGAAGATTGACGAACATATTCTCCTTCATATAGCTGGCGTAGTATTATGGCAGCAAAACTCTTACTCATCTCGGGGTTACGAAAGAGAATAGGTACGGGTCGAGATACGAGGGTGTGGAGTGAGCATTGGGTTCCTGACTCAGTGGCCCGACCACCTAGGCCTGCCGATCATATTGTCTACAGACTCCCATGCCTTCCGGTTCAAGCCCTTATTAGGAATGATACCAAGGAGTGGGATATACAACTTTTACGGGAATACTTCCAGCCTGACGATATCCCCTTGATACTTGGGATTAAACCCTCCTGCTCGTCTGCTCCGGATGGATATGTTTGGGACTACACGAAGACAGGAGTTTACTCAGTTAAAACCGGTTATGACCTTCTCCAATCGAACAAGAAGAGCCATACACAGGAACTGGTTCTTGACCCGAGCATCACATCCCTCCAGAGCCATGTGTGGAGGATAGAGGCCCCAAGTAAAATGAAACATTTTTTGTAGCAAGCTATCTCGGGCTGTGTGGCGACAGCAGAGAGGCTCACTTATAGACACCTGGGCACCGATAGGAGTTGTCCTAGATGTGCTGGCCCAGAGGAGTCGATTAACCACCTTCTTTTTGAGTGCCCCCCAGCCTTGCAGGTATGGGCTTTATCGGACTATCCGTCCATTCCGGGTGACTTCCCGAGTACATCTATTTATCAAAACATGAACTTCCTATTTTGGAAGAGAAAAGAGGTGGCTCCTAGGAGACCACAATTCGATACCTTCCCATGGATCTGTTGGTACATTTGGAAGGCGACGAACGACAAACTCTTTAATGGGAAAGTCGTATCCCCGATGAAAACTCTTCAACATGCGTCTCTTGAGGCAGAATGTTGGAGGAAAGCAAACAAGAGGGAGGACGCCGACGAGGCCCATGAGGTACTTCCTCCTTTGGAGATTGCGACAGAGTCCCTTGAGACCCCCCGAATCCCAACCTGCCAAATTGATGCATCATGGATCGATCATGGCAGTGTCAGTGGCTTGGGGTGGAGTCTTAAGGATCAAATGAGTTATGAATGGTTCGGACTACGGGCGTGTAGAAGGAGCCAATCAGCTTTGCATGCAGAGATGGAAGGGTTACTCTGGGCAGTCTCATGTTTGAGAGACTTGCGGATAACCTCGATACGGTTTGAAACGGACTGCTCAGACCTAGTAGATATGTCTACTAACCCGGAGGACTGGCCGGCTTTCGTGACAGAGACCGAGATGCTCCAGAGACTACAGGAAGACTTTGAGGATGTGAGTCTGTCTCATATTCCTCGGAGTAGGAATGGTCGAGCTGATGCATTAGCCAAAGATGCAAGGAGGAAAGGATTTACATTTTTCCATATAGATCAGACCAGGCCAGACAGAGGTGCTCCTCATAGGATCGGCTTGTCTGATCACCACTTGATCTAGTTTTTAGATAGATAGTCGACAAAAAAAAAAAAAAGAAAAAAAAAAAGAATCAAAGATATAAAATCCTTCAAATTTTATTCTTTTCTCATCATTTGTGGTGTTTTCTTAGAGCAAGTTCTCTTTATATGACTCTTCCTAGACCACCAACCTTTTCTTCTTTGGATTTAGAGATCAAAATAATGTTATTACTCCTTCTGTTAATTAAAAAGTGTCATTAAGAAAATCTTGTTTCAAACAAGTGTCATTTTATACTTTTAATGAAAAAATTTCATATATAATCTCTTTTTTATCCTTTCAATTAAAAAAATATACATTTATTTAAATCATTTTATTTAAATAATTATTTATTAAATAAAATTATACTAATATATTTTCTTATTTTTAAGTTGAGTTGAAATATATCAAAATGACATTTTTTTTACAACAAGCGGCTGATCTATTACTTAAGCTTGAGGTGGTCTGGGAATCCAGACCGGAATAGAACAACCAACATACACCAATTCTCGATAGAAAGATCGAGCACTCTTAGTTAGTGAATCGGAAAATCCGTTATGTGTCCTAGGAACATAGGAAATCTTAAAATCTGGAAAGCAAATTCGCAACGTCGTTAGCTTTTTCAGTTTCGCTGAGAAACTTGGCCAATCATGTGGATTCATGAGCATTGTTATCATTTCCTTGAAGTCCGTCCCAAATCTCTGACATGACGAATGTTGAAACATGTTCTCCATTGCCCACCGCAGTGCTTCCAGCTCAGAGTGCAAACTAGACTCCACTCTATCAAAATTACGCTGATTATTCCCCATATTATCATTCCAGACCCATCCATATCCACTGAACTGAGCTGTAGAGGTCCAAGAACCATCCACCATACATATATTCCCGAGACTTATGGTCTGGCTGTCATTTTTTTTTCCAAGCCAAAATGACATTTTTATGAATTAAAAGGACTGTATTTGAATAATATCATTTATGCACAGGATTTTTTCATCTCTAAATAATTTATAAATATATGTGAAACATCTAAAGACAAACTAGTAAACATAATAAAAGATAAAACAAATGCATAAACATAAAAATAAAAGATAGAGATGAAGAAATCCTTCATTGGTTAGCATATAATTAATGACTAGGATAAGTCATGCGCCTTGCGCATGGTGAATATACGTAATTAAAATATAAAATTTCAGTATTGATAAATTTAAAATTTACAAATAATTATTTTTATATGTATTTGAAATTTTAGAATTTTGAAATTTTAAAATAATGATCTATACGTAGGATCAGAAACAATTGTAATTAGAACTGTAGATCAAATCTTAGAATTTTATGGACCCGATTTCATATATCTTTTCACTTTTTAGTGTTCGAGTGATGGAAAATAAACAGAGTGTCATTGGGTTTGATTGGTAGAGTATTAGCAAATTTCCTAATGTTTTTTTTAAGAAACAGTTGGTAAAATAATTGCATTTAAAATATATAAGTTTCAAAACTAATTTAATATAATTTATTTATTTGTATAATAATATTAGAAAACTATATTTTTTACAAATTATTATTTTTAAATAATTTTATAAAAAAACTAAGTTAAATTTTAAATTATTTTTAAAAACAATATTTTAGGTTTTTCAAATACAAATAAAGAATTCAAAATTAATTATGGTCATGATTTAACATAACCATAATGATTTCAAAAATTAAAAATTATTAAAAAATTAACAAATTAACAAATTAACTCAGTTTTATATAATGATTTAACAATTGAAAAATTAATTATGGTTATGAGAAGTTTACGTTCACGTGTTAATCCTATTTATCTTCAATTTTTTCTCTTGTTGTATTTTTTTATATTTTGGTTATTACTCAATATAAATATTGATTTTGAAGTTTATTCTCATTTCGTTTATTTGTTTTGACCTGGGATTTAGAAAATATTTAAGATTTAAAATAATTAAAAAGATACATACTTAGTTTAAGATTTTCACTTTATGCACAATAAGTATTTTATATTTATAATTGATTTTATAATTTTCTTCATATCATAAAATAATAAATATATATATTACATAACTAAGAAATCAGTTTAATAAATTGACGTATGCATATAAATTTAACTATCATTCTTGTTTATTCGTAATTAGCTTAAATAAATCAAAATAATCAATCTTATATATTGTATATGATATATAATTAAAATTAAATGATATAAACATAGTAATATGGCACACTTTTAATATTGATATTTATTAAATGAGGTTTCTACTCATATGATTTTATGATTATTTGTGTATTTGTGTAACAAAACTTTACACCAACGATTTTTTTTAATGTGAGATGTTTAGTAGTTTCAATAATTTATAATCATTTTTCTAAAAAAATTTACATATTTCAAAATTAAAATATTAACTTTTCAATATATGTTGAAGACAAAGTATGTATTTTCATACGATTTATAGTTTAATTAAAACGATATGAAATATATATATAAACTAAAATTATTTCTTCATATGGTCTTATAATCATTATATTTTAATATAGAAAAAAAATTAAAACCTTGATCCTAAAAGTTTATGTGAGACTTTTAACAGTTTTAGTAATTTATACTCATTTTGAAAAATTTGAAATACAACATACACAAAAAAATCTAGATGTTTATTATATGATTAATGTAATTGTGTAATTTATTTTAATAATAAATAAATAAATAAAATGAGAAAAAGTATACAGATTGTTATCAAATCTTATTGTTTAAAATAATTAATTGTCATATATATTTTAATCACATTAGGTAATTCCGTAGGTTTTATTTAAGGAAAGCATGCGAAACAATAAATATTTGATATATGCGACCAACTATAGTCTACGAAATATTATATTGCTAGAGAATATAATTTTTAGACTATACATTATATCACATGCTCTAGAATCCTTAGAATTTGAAATAGAAGCCAAAGAACTATGCCACATAGGATTAGGGTTATTTTTAATTCTTACAAACTTAAGGTTACAACTTTTTAAATGATTCTCAAATAATATATAGGGGATATGATATTTCTTTATTGTTTTGGTAAATAACTAATGCTTACAGCAAAACAGAAAAGAAAACAAGCATAGTATTATAATCTACCTCACAACAATCCCGCCATTTTCACAATCTGAGAATATTGACGGAAAAGGAAATGAGCTAGCCTTTGATGATTTCCATGTAATATATATGACCATTTATATATTGAGTGGGTCGTTTAACTTAAGCAAAATATGAACGCAATAATTTCCATTGCTTTTCGTACACTAACATGACCAAGATCCTCTATGTTAGGGATTACTAAATAACAATATAATTTCGTGATAAGGAGCATTACAAAATCAATGTTTAAGTCCACTAATGAAAATTCTTATAAAATTGACATTATATTAAAGAATGGAATCTTCTTCCTGGGTCAAGTATCTAATTTGTGCATACCTTGAATTTACATTATTAAACTTCAACAATCACACAAAAAGGAAAGGACACCTGACAAGCCATTTTCAATATATAAATACAATGCAGGTTATTAAAATTTACGTTCTTCTAAAAATTGTTGGACGACCTTGGTCTTATTATTAAAGTCTTCACCAGAAGAAAGAAGAAGAAAAATCAGAAGCTGCGTATTGCAAATGAGACTGTTGCACCACAAAGCTGCTCCCAAAAGCTTCGTTTTCCTCATGCAGCCCATCCAATTTCTGCACATCATTATTTTGATACATAAGAGACGAATTTTATTAGTTACACACATTTTACAATTACAATTTTAAAATGTTTCATTATACTTTTTTTGTATGACATTGGCTCACACGATGTTAACTCTAGCTTTTTAAAAAAAAATCTATTCTAATAGCTTGCTATTTGGTTTTGTTGAGCCGCTCATGAGGTGCACTATTGCACGGTCTGGCTCAAACCATGTATGACATACAATATCCCTTAAAACATATATGTAGTAACCGTGAAGCGTGTGTAATTTTTTCATCTACAATAAAAAAACATTTGGATGCTACATTCTAAATTTACAAATCTATAACATTCCTTCATATGGTTTAAGCTTTGTAGAACCAATATGAGATACATATTTTGTTTTAATCATTCACGTATTATCATATTGAAACCTGTGTTATGAATCTTATGATACGTGCATGCACACACATATATATATATAATATATTCATCTAGATGTATATGCACTATATTGTACAATCAACTTCAACTTGTTTTTTTGACTGAATATTCAAGTAAAAATAAAGACTAGTTTTAGAATATGAATTACCCAAAGCTCGGTGTCGTCGTCTTCAGTTGTGGGGATTTCTACAACTTCGTCGTTGCGTGCGAATCTGCCACGTATTCGAGGTCTACTGTCCGCCAACGTTTTCCTGCATGCATACTTTTTTTTTCCAACCCAAACAAAAAAAGTTACTTAATCAAAAGAAAGTAATAAAAAGCCTTTAAATTTTGAGAAATGTAATAAGATTGTTTACCTTAATAGTTTTGGTAAAGTTTCTCTGGTTGCGTTTAGCTCTGTACTTTGAGATCTTCTCTTTACGTTCTTCTGCACTGTAACGTCCCACCTTAATGTTCTGCTCGTCTGGAAACGGCTCCGATGATCTCTGCCCGGCAACATTCTTTCTTGTGTTCTGAAAAAAATAGTATCAAAATCAAAACTTTTAGTAAAACTTTTTTATAAAATAAAAAACAGAGCAAGAAAAACAGAGACCTGCAAATCTCCAGTGCTGTAGACTCGTCGCATCATTTGACCGGAAAAGAAGTCATTTTCCGGCGAGTTCAAGGTATTGTAATCCATTATTGGAACGTTGTTGAACGGAATCTGATTTGGTTTTCCGTCGACGAAATTGGTACTCAAGCTTCTCTGCATATATCTTCCCGCATTATCTATTGCACTGTAGCTTCTCGCCATTGATGCAACCGTTTCCGTCTGATTATGACCGGAGCCACCGTAAAACTGCTCTGTTTTGACGGCGTCTGAGATATCTGGATATAACCCAGTGGGAATCTGATGAGAGAGAGTTAAGGTTCCGAGAAGGTCGCTTGGAGGAGATGAAGAGAGGATGTGAGGGGTGAAATGGTCAAACATGTTGAGAGATTCATCAACAGTAAAGAGTTCGTTGTTGCAGAACAAATCTGTCGTTGTTGTTGTGTCTGAAGAGAACATATCTGGACTAGAGTTTCGGAAAATTGAGGAAGAAGATGAAGAAGAACCATCAAAGATATAAAGATCTGACGAAGCCATTTTGAAACTGATGAAGTGTAACTCTATTTATGTCTTGTTCTGTTTGGGTTTCTCTGTTTTAGAACCAAGACATGACAGGTTAAGTTTCTTTTGTCTGGTGAGTGACAATGTATTTATAACGGCGGAAACAACAGTCGATTTCACTAATATGTCCTCATGTTTATATATATTGTGGATTTTTCTCATAGAGTTTTGTATTCTTACATTTCTAACCAAAATGCTTTCATTCAAATAATTTAATTCAAATCCACTTGGTCTTTCTGTCTTTTTGATTGTATGATGTGTGCAAAAGCTCCTTTTGGTGATATATTACTATTCAAATCTTACGCTTCTAGAATCTAATTCCGTCATTGGCATAGCTGTTGAAAATGCATTTTTTGATTATATAATTATTTTTTGAGGTGTAGTTGAGAATATTCGCGCGGCTTTACCACCAACATTGTGCTTGTTTGCAGTTAATATTTTTTAAAGACAAAAAAATTATATGATCAGATTACAAATGAATTATCAGATCATTCATGTAACCCAATACTAATGTACATGAAAGTTAGTAGGACGAAAAATAAGATTTTGGACCTATCATAGTAAAGAGTGTTTACTTACTTCTTTGCATTGTCCCGGTGAAAAGATCGAATTAAAATGTAAATTGAGGACACTTGAGCTAATGCTCGATAAAATTAATTAGTGAATCTGGATAAATTTACAAACTATATATAGCTTTTTATATAAAATCATCTTTAATAGTGTTCCTTTTTGAATACACAATTTTTTTAAACCGGGTTGCATAACAACTCGTTTGATTACAAGCTCATTTCTAAATCAGTACTTTTGAAGATGATTTTAATTGTGTGCATAGATCGTATAATTTTAAGAAAATATGATTTGTGCTACATATTGTACCTCTTGCAAAACATAAAAAGTTTATGTTTAGCGAGAAAAATAATATATTTAATAATTTTCATATGTTTTGTTGTTAATAATTTGGTTTAATCGGTATAAAACCTTATTAGTTCGTCTTGTTTTGAATAATTTGGTTTACCGGATGAAACTCCAGTTTAAGTCTGACCCGTGGACATTTTTGACAGCATAGTACCCATGTGAAGATCGAAACACCTCGAGCTTCTTCTTGATACTTGAATCACGAACCAACAAGACGATATGTTGACCCGGAGTTCACCGCACCAACACCGTTAAAGAGATGTTGGCCGCTATAGCTCTCCGGAGCTGGGATTGAACCAGCAACACTATACACAGCAACTCGAAACTTGAGTCACCGTCAGTTACACGAGAACCTTGGATCTCTCTCTCTACACTCGTCTAACTTCTTTCTCTTGCTGTTACAGATAACATCAGCTAAAGGAAAGAAGCTGACCTTTTATACCTAAGACTAAACCGTTCTAATAACTGAACGGTTAATCCTAACCACATACACAAACCGTATATGATTAACTAACGAGAGAGAGAGAGACCCGGTATAGCAATTAATTACAAACTTAACCGGACTAATAAAACCAAGTCCTAACCTATCTAAACCGATAGTTTAATCTTGTCTACAATCTTCAAATCTCCACCTTAGACAAGATTTCAAAACTTGGTGAATCATACCTGAACTCCTCTTTACCGAGTTGCTCTTTCTTGTGTCTTTTACCAGACCATTGCAGCCTTTACCGGCTACAACCAAACCTCCTGCATCCTTTACTCTTTTGAAACTCGAAGCAAAGTTAATGCTTCTCTGAACTTGAACACTGGAAGAACTTTTGTAAAAATATCAGCAGGATTGTACGCAGTAGCAATCTTGAGAACATCAACTTCACCAACACTAATCAGATCACGAATGAAATGATACTTCGTTGCTACATGCTTCGTGCGCTCGTGATATACTGCATTCTTCGACAGTGCAATAGCACTTTGAGAATCACATTATATCTCCACTGATTCTTGTGGAAAACCCAACTCCTCAGCAAATCTCTTTAACCAAACTCCTTCCTTAGCTGCCTCAGACAACGCAATATATTCGGCTTCAGTTGTGGACAAAGCAACTACTTTCTGAAGTGAAGACCTCCAACTTATAGGATTTCCTCCAGCAGTAAATATCATACTAGTTATAGACCTCCTATGATCCAAGTCAGCACTGTAATCTGAATCACAGTATCCTTTAATCACAAAATCACCTTTCTTCTTGTAACACAGCCTTGTGTTAACAGTCCCTTTAATGTATCTTAAAACCCACTTCACTGCCTGCCAATGCTCTTTAAGAGGCTTCGACATGAACCTACTCACTAGACCAACTGAATATGCCAAATCTAATCTTGTACCCACCATCGAGTACATTATACTTCCAACTGCACTCTGATAAGGAACTCTACTCATAGCTGAAGCCTGCTCCCTTAACTCTTTCTCTGTTCCAGACTTGAGCTTAAAATGAGCACCCATAGGAGTCGCAACTGACTTAGACTGATCCATATCGAACTTAGATAGTACTCTCCATAAGTAGTCTTCCTGAGACACCCATAACTGAAAATCTTCTCTGTTTCTATTGATTTCCATACCCAAAATCTTCTTAGCATCTCCTAAGTCTTTCATTTCAAATTCTGAACTCAAGACTTTCTTCAACTTTTCAACCTGACTCTTATCAGTTGAAGCTATAAGAATATCATCAACGTATAAGAGCATATACACGTACACACCCTTATCACTGATCTTGAAATACACACACTGATCATACTCACTTCTCAAATATCCCTGAGTCCTTACAAAATCATCAAATCTTCTATTCCACTGACGAGGCGATTGCTTCAAACCATACAAGGACCTTTTCAACAAACACACTTTCTCTGGAAACTTCTTGTCTACAAAACCTTCCGGCTGATCCATATAGATCATCTCATCCAAAGTACCATGTAAAAATGCCGTTTTGACATCCATTTGTTGAAGCTCCATGTTAAAGTAAGTGACTGCTGACAAAATGTACCTTATCGATACATGTTTAACCACAGGAGCAAAGATCTCTTGAAAATCAATACCCTCTTTCTGTGAATATCCTTTTGCTACCAATCTTCCTTTATATCTCGGTGGTTCAACTCCCACAATGCCAGCCTTTCTCTTGAACACCCATTTGCAACCTATCGTTTTCTGATCTTTAGGCTTATCAACTAAAATCCACGTTCCATTCTTCTTCAAAGAGTCCATCTCGTCAATAGCAGCCTTTCTCCATAGATCACTATCACTGTCTTCCATGGCTTCTCTGTATGACGAAGGCTCTGGATTAGTATCTTCTGACAAGTCACAAATATAACAGGCATATATATCTTCTCCATCCGCTGCATCACACTCGTAGTCTTCTAGTCTTCTAGGGGAATTGATCTGCCTTCTTGTTCTGTCCTTTGCCAATTGATAGTCACTTAAGTCCTCTTCATCCTCAACTTCTGTTATGTCAGCTCCAACTGAAACACTCTTCCCTTCACCAGAAGCTCCACCTTCAGCCGTATCTTCATCACTCTTCTGAGTATCCGACAGCTCCAAGCTCACTAGATTAGGAATATCTCCTGTAGCATCGCTATCTGAGACTTTATCTTTAACTTCTTTATAAACTTGATCCTCCTTGAAAACTACATCCCTGCTGATAATAACTTTCTTTTCTTCAGGAATCCATACTTTAAACCCTTTAACCCCTTCAGGATAGCCGGTAAAGAAACCTCGTTTTGCTCTAGGATTTAATTTCCCATCACTCTTGTGAACAAAGACTACACAGCCAAATCTTCTTAACCCTTTCAAACTTGGCATAACTGATGTCCACTTCTCCTCAGGAACTTCAAAGTTAATAGCTGATGACGGAGATCTGTTAATCAGAAACACTGCAGTAGCTGCTGCTTCAGCCCAAAACTTCAACTCAAAACCACTTTCACTCAGCATACTACGAACCTTATTCATTATAGTTCTGTTAAGTCGCTCTGCAACTCCGTTTTGTTGCGGAGTATAGGTACAAGTTCTGTGCCTAACCATTCCTTCTTCTTTACAAAACGAGTTAAACTGAAGGTTACAAAACTCCAAGCCGTTATCAGTACGCAGTTTCTTAATCTTCCTTTCGCTTTGTGTTTCCACCATTTTCTTCCATAGCACGAAACATTCAAAAGCTTCATCCTTCCTCTTAAGGAAATATATCCATACCTTTCTCGAGAAGTCGTCTGTAAAGGTAAGGAAATACTGAGCTTTTCCAAGACTTGGGGGAACATTCGGAGACCCCCAAAGGTCAGAGTGAACATAGTCAAGCTTATCCTTCGTTACATGCAGAGCTGGTCCAAAACTCACTTTGTGTGTCTTTCCTATTACACAGTCTTCACAGAACCTTACTTCTTTATCTTTGATATCCTCGAAACAACCCTTCTTGATCAAAACTTCAATACCTTTTTGACCAAGATGTCCCATCCTACTGTGCCAAAGCTGAGCTTCTTTCAACTGATCTTTATTTGTCTCAGCGTTACTTGACTCGCCCTGTATCAAACCAGTAGACTTTGCTGTTGCCTGAAGTATGTAAAGAGATTGTCTTCGAAAGCCTTTCATAAACACAGTACAACCTTTGATAACCTTTAGTACTCCATTGGCCCCCTTAAACTCACAACCTTTCTCCTCAAGATTTCCCATTGATATTAGATTCCGTGATATCCCGGGCATGTATCCAACATCATGTAGAACAAATGTAGTCTTGTCTGCATTTTCAAATCTAATTGATCCAACTCCTTTAACTTCAGAGATAGTATTGTTTGCCATGCGAACTCTTCCACCATCAGACGGCTTCAGACTGAGAAATAAATCCTTTCTTGGAGTCATATGAAAGGTGCAACCTGTATCCATTATCCACTCATCTCTATCTGCTTCTGTAGAGTTAACCTCTGCCACTAGAAGACCAACTAAATCTCTTGCATCATCCTTTGCCAAAGACGACTCTCCACTTTCAGAACCTTGTCTCTGACCCTTGCTCTTATCTAACCACTTATAACACTGCTTTTTAAAATGGCCCTCTTTACCACAAATCCAGCAAAGACGTTTACCCTCCTTTGACTTAGAACGAGACCTGCTTTTGTTCTTACCTGCATACGAGTTATAATTCCTATTCTCTGTTCTACCTCTAACATAGTTTCCTTCCCCCGATACCTTAGCAGTAGACGATTCTTTATATTCCATTTCTTTAGACTTAGCAGCACTAGAGATATCGTCTACACTAATAGCCTCTCTACTATACTTTAGAGTTTCTTTTAGAGAATCATACCTGCTTGGCAAAGCGTTGAGTAGCAGAATCGCTTGCACTTCCTCAGGTATTTCGATGTTGAGATTACTCAAGTCTGTCACAAGCTTGAGAAAATCATCAACGTTTTGATCGATTGTCTTCGAGTCTTGCATCTTGAATGAGTACACCTTGAGCTGCGCGTGAACTCGATTTGGCAAAGTCTTCGCCATATACAACTTGTTAAGAAGCTCCCAAGCCTCCATAGCTGTCTTACACTTATCGAGTTTCCTTAGAACATGATCTCCAACGCTCATAAAGATTATATTCAACGCCTTCTCATCCCGCTCAGATCTTGCCACTTCTTCAAGATCCTTCTTCTTCTTGGTGTCTTCATCATCTTCTTCCTCATCTGTCTTCGCCGTCACTGAGGTCTGTGAGGGAGGAATCAAGACATCCTTCAATCCTTGAACGCTTAAGTTTGCCAGCATCCTTTTCTTCCAGATCGCGAAATCTCCTGTTCCATCGAACATTGAAATCTTGATCTCCATCTTCATCTTGCGAGTTGTCATCACAAGAGTCTTCTTGCAATCTTCGATTTGGGAAATCGAATCTTCTTATCGCTAACCGCCGAGCTAGATCTTCGAGAACTCTGAATCTTCTAATCTCCGGCTCTGATACCAATTTGTGAAGATCGAAACACCTCGAGCTTCTTCTTGATACTTGAATCACGAACCAACAAGACGATATGTTGACCCGGAGTTCACCGCACCAACACCGTTAAAGAGATGTTGGCCGCTATAGCTCTCCGGAGCTGGGATTGAACCAGCAACACTATACACAGCAACTCGAAACTTGAGTCACCGTCAGTTACACGAGAACCTTNAGAAGCTGACCTTTTATACCTAAGACTAAACCGTTCTAATAACTGAACGGTTAATCCTAACCACATACACAAACCGTATATGATTAACTAACGAGAGAGAGAGACCCGGTATAGCAATTAATTACAAACTTAACCGGACTAATAAAACCAAGTCCTAACCTATCTAAACCGATAGTTTAATCTTGTCTACAATCTTCAACCCATGCAAAAAAGCGTGTCACATGAATATTTACCTTTCTGAAATTTCGGCATTTCCAATGGGTCAAAGAGTTATAATTCAACCAATAAAATCTCAAGCGGAGCGAAATTTATGTTTAAACAATGTCTTAATAGCTGTCGTTTTGAAAAATTTCAAACAGGAAAAGAAAAGGAAAAGAGAAGGAGAGAAGTTTGTAAATTTTCTACGTTTGTTTCCAAACAACTGGATGTGTTTGATTTTGTAAATCTAGCGCGTGAAACGCTAACTTGATTTTGTTAACATTTCTAATATTCATATTCTGTAGAAATCTTATATTTTGTTTTGAGGGTAATCTTGAATCCGAGTGTCCCCCATAAAGCAGGTTTTCTATTGAAGAGATTGTGTTCTTTTGGTTGGTGTTATTTTAAAAATCATGGGAAGGTCTCAAGATAAGCTTGAAAAGATGCAGCTCCGGCAGAGTTACCGGAACCTATGGCAGTCCGACCTCATGAGCACGGTCACGGCCGATACTCCATGTAATCATCTCTCTCTATATATTTATTTTTTTCCAAAACGTTTATGTTTTTGATCAGTTTTTTTCTTTTTCTTTTTCTTTTTCTTGATTTGGTTTCTGCAGATTGTTGCTTCTCGTGTTTGTGGTAAGTGGTTCTTGTTCATCTCTTAGGGAATATATATTATTAGCTTCTTGTTGTCATTCAAAATAATGAACTTTTTTTGTTATCAAATGATACAGTTGTTACTCCTTGTAGTAGGTGATTTTTTTTTTTTGATCAAATCCTTGTAGTAGGTGACTATACAAGTGTATTTGTCATTGAATGATTGTATATATGTTCTTGGTTCACACTTAAATCTATCGTTTATTCTTATTGTAGTGGACCTTGTGTTTCATACTTACTTCGAAAGAGAGCACTTTACGATGACATGTCAAGGTATCGAATTCTACTCTCTGTACAAAGATGACCAGTTTGTGAAATGATTTGTTTTCTCTTAAATTCTACTGTCTTGTTCTGTTCTCGAAGGTACACTTGTTGTGGTGGATACATGCCTTGCAGTGGTAGGTGTGGCGAAAGCAAATGCCCTCAATTTTGTCTTGCCACCGAGGTTAGCCTTTAACATGCTATTTTGAGTTTCATGTTGGTGAAAGATGACTTGTGGAATTTGCAATCTGCTTTAATTTGATATTTTTGATGATCTTTCCCCCAATTTTCTTGTTTATATGATTTACTATAGCATATTGTGAATTTAGTAAAAATGAACATGACAAAGCAATTTATTTTGGTTTCTGATATTCTATAGTTTTGTTGCTTGCTGTTCCATTGCCGTGTGATAGGATCTTTCTTTGATTGAGTTGTTAACGTTTTACTGTTTATGGGGACTTGAACAGTGAGTTTGTATGATCTTGATATGGTTGACGAATGTTTTCAGGTTTTCTTGTGTTTTGGAAACTCGGTAGCATCTACTCGCTTTATGCTGCAAGATGAATTCAACATCCACACAACACAATGTGACAATTGCATTATTGTACTCGCCACCTCTCTCCCTCTCTCTCCACTTCCCTGACTACACACCTTTAATTTTACATCTTCTTCGCTGTTTTTGCAGGGATTTATGTTCTGCCTCAACCAAATCGCTTGCATTTTCTCTCTTATCGCTTGCATTGTTGGTAGTGATGAACTCTCTGAAGCTTCTCAGCTTCTTTCTTGCTTGGCTGATACGGTTTATTGCACGTATGTATTATCTTATTAATCTTCCATGTCCCTGGCTTACTTTGGCTGCTTTAAATTTAGCCAAATGACTCATTATTAATGTTGGCAATTGTATATTTAACTAAGACATTATTATCCCGCTGATTCTTTACTCTGGTCTGGTTTTTTGCAGGGTCTGCGCGTGTATGCAGGTAGAATCAATTTATTTCACATATTTTTACAGTATATATGACCACAACGCAAAAACCGATCTCCTCTTTACTTGCAGACACAACACAAGATCGAGATGGACAAAAGAGACGGTGTCCTAGGTTCTCAACCAATGTCAGTGCCACCGGCTCAGCAAATGTCTCGCATTGATCAACCGATCCCTCCCTATGCCGGTTACCCTCCAGCCTCTGGCTATCCCCAGCCTTACTATCCACAGCCTGGCCATGGTTACCCTCCTACGCCAGGCTATCCACCTCCCGGACATGGTTACCCTCCTGCTCCAGGCTATCCACCTCCTGGTCATGCTTACCCTCCTGCTCCAGGCTATCCACCTCCTGGTCATGGTTACACTCCTGCACCGGACTATCCTTCAAAGTGAGAACCTTAAACGAAATGGATATCTAAAATTTCAAATTCAAGTTGTAATATCATCTCAGACCTGTCTGCAAAACATTTTATATTATTGTTATATTGTCCCGTTGTATTGTATGTTGTGATTATTTTGAAATATTTTGCTGTTTGGTTTAGATCCAGAGAGCTTCTATATACCGTCCGGTTTGTTGTCTCATCGGTTTTTGGTTCTAGTCTTTAACTTATGTAATCTATACTATTAAAGCAGAATCCCTCATAAGATTCTGCCCATAGTTTTATGAGTTATTTACAAAGATATGCCATTAACATTTAATTTAATATAATTATTATTTATTTAAACTAAAAAACTAAATATTTCATATATTTAAGGTAACTAATAATTCCCTGATTTTGTGCTTAATAATAATTTTATTTTTATGTTATTTCTATTTTATTTTAATTTTAATATCCTATTTTCGTGCATAATATCATTTAGCAATAAAAAGTTAAAACTATTATTTATTATGTCATAATTGATATGCCCATTCAATTTTCTTTTATAAATTACTTTTAGATATAAAATAAGTGAAAATATAAAATTATCATAGGTTATTAATAACAAAAAAAATAATATTGTTATATGAATATTTTTTTTCTATTACCATTGTTTCATATTTTCAAATGAAAAAAATTTCATTAAAGTCTAAGAAATTACAAAAAAAAATTCAATTTTATTTAATATTAAAACTATGTGTTATTTAACTAATTTTTTAAGAAAATGTTATAAGTTTTTTTGGGATCTACGGATATTATATTGCGGATTAATAGAGGATTTTTGGATATTTACCAGTTTTATCAAATTTAAATTAATAAAATTTCATATAATATTAACCGGATTATACAAAAGATTGTCGGATATATCAGTTTAACTATGAGTCTCGATCAGATATAAAAACATACAATACGTAAAAATAAAACAATATAATAGAACATTTTAATATTAGTAGAACAACTTTTATTTTTTGTGTTAAAATAAAATTTATCAATTCAAATAAATTTTATTAAAAAGGTAAAATAAACCCGCGCTTTTAAAGCGCGGGTCAAAATCTAGTTTATACTATTAAAACATGATCCTATTTTGAAAATTTAGGATTCTGCCCTTGCATTTCAATATATTTACAAGTCTTTCCTATTGACATTTAATTTAAACTAAAAATAGAATATTCTCTATAACTATGGTAATTAATACTTTCCATATTTTGTGAATTATAATAATATTAACTTTTATGCAGATTATAGTTTCTATTTAATTTGAATATCATTTTTCCATCTATAATATTATTTAAAGATCGGATATGAATATATACATGTAAATTTAAAAAACTATTATTGTCAATTTTACATAATAACAATACGCCAATTTTCAGTGTTCAAATTTTTTTAAAACTTATCTTAAAGTTAAGTTTTAGATGTAAACATAGATAAAAATACAAACTTATCATAGCTTATTAGTAACCAAAAAAAGAAAATAATATTTTTATATCAATAATGAAGTTTCATATTACCATTGTTTCATTTTATTCAAATGACATAATCCAAATCTCATTAAACTCTAAATATTTTTTTTCAATTTTATATAATATAAAGAAGTATGAATTATTTAATAAACATTCAAAAATATTATTTATTTTTGGGTTTTCAGCGAATCATCTCATATTAGATATTAGGTCAATAGCGAATTTTTAGATTTTTACCAGATTTTCTAAGATTATAATTACAGTTCTTTTTATTAAATTGAACTGAATTATACACATATCACCGGATTTATCGGTTCAATCATAGGTCTAGGTTAGATATAAAAACACCGCTTGAAAATTGAGTATTTTTTTGAAACACAAATTGAAAATTTTAAAACTATTTATTTTCTAATCAAAATTATAAATTCAATTCAGTTTTATTAAAATAAAATATACCTGCGCTTTTAAAGCACGGGTCAAAATCTAGTCTATACTATTAAAGCAGAATCCCTACTAGGATCCACCCTTGATTTTTTGAGTTATTTAAAAAGAATGCCATTTTTACTTTTATAAATTTTTAATAAATTTTTCTCAGTATATTCAACCAATTGTAATGCATGATTTATTATCCACTCACATTGCTGCAGCATTTACTAACATTATTAATGCCACAAGACAAAATCAAACGAGACTATTTTATGTATATGATCTTCTTTCTCCTTCCTTTACTTTATAATTCTTAATGTTACATATTTGTTTGCTCTTACTCCACAAAAAAATGTATAAATGGATTCACAACCGACACGGATCTAATAACGATGCAACAATAACAAAATAAACTTGAATTGGTACACACGATATTTGTAATTCAATGAGTTTCTAATCATGGTTCTTATATACACCATGATCACATATGTTGCTCTTCAAAATTCAGAATAAAACCTTTAAGTTTAGACCATTTACGTCAATATTTATCTCAAACAATGACTTTCATTACGAGTTAGAAATACTAATTCATATATGATAATTCATTTTTTTTTAAATGTTATAAATCAAATCTCCATACTTTTAGGAATACATTAACAAACACATCACAAATGTTATTTTGGGTAAAATCTGAGATCTTTACTGATATTGTTCTTTTTTGAAATAATATTGACTTTCATATTTTTGGCAACTCATTATTTTTACCCCAAGATTGTGTTTATTAATCCTTTTACACCAGCACATCCAGATTTCAATCCTCGATGAAAACAATTTATTAAACAATTATGCAGGATACCAAGGAAAGCTTACAAGTGATCTTCAACAAAATGCAAATAAACTCTTGACTCAGGTGATGCAATTAGGTGTAGATCTTCATAAAACATGTAGTATTATCGGTTTGTCGAATCATCTATGTAATCTTTCATATAATTGTAATATCATAATAAATCTGCGTTAAAAAAAAGATTGTGTTTATTAATTTTTGGAAAATAAACTCGAAATCATAATATATTACCTAACCATGCACACACTTTTTAAATTAAAACTACTTAGAAGATCTCCAATGTAATTTCCTGCAAAGCGCAGTAAAAGAAAATATTGAGTAATATTCTAACCCTACTCCATATCCCACTCCATAATGGAGTAATGAAAAAAATAAAAATTAGATTATGGAGTTAGGTTGTAGTGTTTTTACTTCATATTCGTTTTAACTCTATTTTAATGTAAAAAATGGAGTTGGATTGGAGATTCCCCTAATTGTAACAGATTGTTTTTAATTTATTAAATCATATTAATATATAAATATTAATATTAGCTGATATTTTTTTCTTTATAATTCTGTTATACAATATATACAATTGTGGTTGATTTTGTACAGTTTAATAATTTATGGTTATTCTATTAAATATGTAAAATATTAATAAAATATGAGGAGTTGAACAAAAATAATATCATTTTTTATAAAATTATTAAACAATGTAAAACGGGTTAAAATGTATTATAGTTTTCTTCAATCTCACGTTATAAAATAAGTCGGAACCAAACAAAAATATAGATAGTGTTTCGTAGTATTTCAAATTATTTTTCACAAACTCAAAAAGATATCACAAAATGAATATGCACCTTTTATTTATAAATTTAATATAGAAGACTAAAATATGCAGTTATTAAAATAGAATTGAAAATAAAATATTTTTTTTATATAAGTTTGGAAAGTGGTGGGTCATAACTCTTTCCAATCCCAGAATTTAACACTCCTCAAAACAAATAAAATAATTTTTGAAAACTTCACAAAATATATTAAAATTATTTGGAAATTATAATTTTTATATAAATAATTTTTGTAAGAAAAAAAATCTCGCGCTTTGAAAGCGCGGGTCAAAATCTAGTGAACCATTAACTCTAGAAAACAAAATTAGATAGTTATTTACTTCGTTCACATTTATCTGTCAACTAGGTTACCCACGCATTTGCGCGGGATGAGAATTATATATATAAATTATTTATGTCTTATTCTTTATTTTGTGTTATTTTATATTATAAAATAAAATATATAAATTGAATAACTCTGTAACTAATATATATATAATTAATTTAATGAACACTTAAATAAAATATTTTTTTATTTACAATCACTTTATATAAGTAAATATAATTAATAAATGATATTAATATATATATATAATAAATGATAATAATATATCTATATATTATCCTTTTAATTTGTATATCTAATAAATGAAGCTTCACTTACATGATTTATGATCATTTTTATATTTTTATAAGAATTGTTTTTTAAAATATTGATAAGATCATTTTAATGCGAGAGGTTTAATATTTACATTAATTTATCATCGTAAAAAAAAATTAAATTCAAAGTTTGTCATTAAAGTATTAAGTTCTCAATACTTGTTCAATGTAATTTTGGAATTAAATATTTATGTATTTTTAAATGGTATTTAGTTTAATTTAAACATCACTAAATATATATAAATATATATATATATATACATATAATTTAAATATCTATTAAATGATATTTCTTACTCATTAATTATGTAATTGTTTGTATCGTGCTATAACAAAAAAATTAAACTACTAATCAAAAATATTATCTGTGAAATTTTTAAAATTTTAATTAATTTATAGTTGTTTTTAAAATTCAAAATATAACATATATAAAAAATATAATTTTTTTCTTATATATTTAATGTTATTGTTTAATTTATTTTCACAATATAAATTTAACAAAAAGAATAGAGACTATACATTTTTTTATCAAATCTTTTATATTTAAATCATTAATTGTCATGATATATATATTATAACCATATTAGCTAATTCCAAAAATTTTATTCAAGGAAATAATGATTAGCATTAATAATAGTTATATGCTTAGTTTAACAAAAACTATATTATATGTTTATATGAACCAACATTTTTCTCTAGCAAATTTGAGAAGCATTCTCATGATGCACGTGGCTACTAAAATATGTTGTAATACTTCTCAATTAATATATTAGAT